TCCGTAGGATTACAGACAACATCAAGTCTTTTATCACTAGATGGGGATTCGACAAAACATGATCTTTTTTCCTCCATTGTGCCTTATTAAGAGTCCAGAATCTTCATTAAAATATAATTACAAAGAAAGATCATTTCTAATACTTTCTAAACCAACATCTTTTTAGATTTACTCTCTACATTTCGTACAATAGGCAATCTGATAAATCTACTCTCTCTAACTGGTCATCGAAGGCCGATCATTTTATATGAACTCAATACCAATCTAAAGGTGACTTCCTCTTAATATTAGTTTTGGCCAGCTTGGAGCTACTTTCCCAACCTTTTTACGTATATATAACTCGTTAGCATTTTTGATCTCTAAGAGTATAAGCCCACTCATCCACATGAGCATCCCAAATCTCTGCCACTTAACTTTAATTTTATGCTTCATTTTTTAATGTGCACTTTCTACACTCATAAAACATAGCAAATCTCCGCCACTATTTGTAATTATAAAAATTTTCTCTTAAGTTCTAAAAGAGGGTATTTTTTTTCTATCAACACCTAAACCCGATCACTTCTCCAACTTCAACCATCCAGACTTGAATGTCTATTAATTAATATCTCTCTATCTATTTCCACCATCAGTTTGAACCATAGGGCCCGAGATATTCTAAAATGTGTACTCCTTTAAGGATTTGACTCGCCCAAAGTCGACAATCCCCCATCTAGATCTTTTCTAATAAAATTATACTCATATATTTGGCATTTAGATATACTCATGAAAACCTTTAAAGACCTCTATAGGTTCGACCTCCAAAAAAAAAAATTTCAAATTTTTGTTTCAACTCCCACTTTTATTCTTATACAGAAAACTATCATCAGCAAAAAGCACACACCAAGGTACATTCTCTTTGTAAATGTCTAGTGAAGTAACATCCATGACAAACAATAATGATATGAGGCTTAAAGCTAACCGCTTATGTGAATCTAATTGGTGTTTTGAACACAAGTAACAACACCTACACATAGCATATCCTTAATGACTTGAATGTTACAGCACCATTATTAAACGGCGTTCCTTTCTTTTCCGAGAATTTCCCAAAGTACTTCTTTTTTGGAACTTTAATATATACTTTCTCCAATCAATATATATCAATTGATGAGATCCTCCTTATTCTCTCTATGCTTCTCTATCAACTTTCTCAATAAATGTATACTGCTTCCATAGTAAATCCTACCCGGGCCAGTGAATTGCCAATTGATTTTGAGAAACATTAATAATCACGTCATACACCTAGTGCTCAATAACCTCTCTCCTGACAATTGTTAAGTGTATGACATATCAACTTAACTCCTCTAACCTACAAATCACACACTCTGTGCATCAAATTTATGTCGTAATATAGAACCACCACTCTCTACTCATTGTTGGCATAGATTCTTAAGTGTTCGAATATTATGTAGAAATGATTTCGATAAGCCTATGAAATTCCTTCATCTTCAAAACATTTCCACGCCTCTATTAAAATCAATAGGTCCAACAGTTTTTTCACACTTCACTTTTTTAAGCCTCTATTAACTTCGATGTTTACTAATAGAAATGAAAAATAAAAAACACTATTTTAATTTAACGGGTGTGCGTGTTACTAAAGTTAATTGAAATCTCACTATCTTCATTGAAAAGCTTATCGAAATATTTTATTCACCTATGTTAAATAACTTTTTATAATAAAAGCACTTTTGATCTTCATTATTAATGCACTTTACTTGAACTAAATATATACTTCTCTTGTCTTTATGCTTAACTAACTTATACATACATCTTTCACCCACCTTGGTATTCAATATATTATATAAATCATTAAAAGCTAATTTTTTTCATCATATATTGCTTTGTTAGAATCCATACGAGCCCCTTTATGTTCTTCCCAATTTTTTGAAAATTTACATCTAAATCAATTATTATAACAAAGCTTCTTTTTTTTTCCTTACATATTTTGATTCACTCCAAGTGCATACTTTATACCATTCTTAATATCACTAACTATTTTCTCTCACACAATATTACCTTCCTCATGCACGATCAAAATAAGATCATGAATCTTATTCTCAAAAATATTTTTATTAGTATATTACTATAATTTAAATGCCCTCGTCTAATCCTAGGACAATATTTTACTTTCTTTTTTATATTTTGCCACATCATTTTAAAGTTTAAAACTAATAAGCAATATTTGGTACATAAACTTTCACTCGGAATAACTTTACAATCTTTGTAATCTAAATAATCTATTTTCTTATTAAAAAATTCATCTAAATTTTACTATATCCATGCTTATAAGTGAAGAAATTCTCTTCTTTTTTGAGTAAAATCTAATATGGTCATACTACATTCATTACTCATTCCAAATTCATAGCACTATGAATGCTTTTAAAATACTCTACCACTGTACCAACATGTTTATTTAAATCTTTTGTAATAAAAACTTTTCTTTAAGAGATATCTTTTGTATTAATTCTTTCAAGTTATTTCAAAATTTTAATTTTGAACACATATCTAAACCTACATGCGAAGAATAAACACTTATAATATTAATAATATTAGCATCAACAACAATATTTAAAACTATAACTATATCTCCAATTCTGTTAATTTCAATAATATTATCCTTCAAACTCTTATCAATAATCACATCTACATTATTTCTAATACAACTCGTACCCAAATACTATAGTTTATATCCTAAACTATCAATATCCTTAGTCTTCTCTCCAACCCATTTAGTTTCTTAAATGCATAGAATATTTTATCTTCCTATGAATCATAATATATATATTAATTAAATTAATTTGTCTGTAAAAAAATCTATATTCCAAGTTTTTATCCTAATTTTAATTTCAAGGATTGCCCACATCCATCCATGATGTGGAAACCCTTGCTTAACACTGCACTCAGGTGTCAGTGCAACGGCCCTTACACACTTCTCACTATATTCAGGCAATACAACACATCGCTTAAAGGGAACGTCCTGACAGTAACACAATGTATTACAAGATTCATGTAATGATTATTCGATAAGTTTTATGCTGGCTAACAACTACCAAACACAACCCTCTATTTTTCTCACGAAGGCTTGGGACTTGACAATGAGAGTGTTTTTTAACATGCCTCGTAGATCATAGCTCTATGATTATTTAAGTTACCTAAGTTAATAATTCAATGTTCTTAAATTGTTGAAAGTTCAAACTATTCATTGTAGTTGATTCAATCAGATTGAACTTATGTCCCATAAATGTCTTGCTTAGGAATAGAAGAAACACCACTTCAACATCGACTTCAAAATATGTTACATAATTGACCCACAACAAGTATAGGGTAGAGATTGGGTTATTCCATAGGATCCATAACCAATACTTTCAAATAATTAGAAGTGAATAAGCCCAAGTTGCATTTAATACAAAAGCATTGCTCTAAAAAAATTGTCCAAAACATAAATACATTCAAATCAGTGACATTATTGATACGGAAATAGTCATACCTGTTAATGGTGAATGACACACCATAACGCAATTTTTTCTATGGAGCCATGATGCATAAAGCCAGGTGCGGCTAGCGCCATTTTAAACATGACACACAATGTAAAATAAGTCAAATATATTTATTTGTATTAAATACTATTAAAATATTTGCGCCATGCTGTGCGTCATATTGCGCATGCATGGTGCAAATAGTGCGCGTTATTTTGATCTGTCGTGTCGCGCCAAACAAATAGGTCGTATGTACACCGTGTGTAGCATGACTTTTTAAAAATAAGCGATGATTAACATATGATACTTTGTTACAAATATGAAGAATTTTATGATTAAACAATTTTTGAGCTTGATTAGCAATTTTTTAAAAAATGGGAGATTGTGGAATGAGAAAAGAAGAATGCAATATAATGCTTAAGATCATTTCATGCCATGCTAATGCTCCCAATAGGAAAGTATACATAGAGTTACAATATTCCATAGGTTTATTAAAGACCTAATTAGCACTAAAATCAATTAAGCTACATATTAAACACCATAACACCCATTACACATCATAACATATTAAGATAATTATAAACACACTACACTTATTGACCTTAATAGTTATTGAGCCCTCAAAATTGAGCTTGCGCTTAAGACCAAATTAATAGTAAATAGAAATCAAACCACATAAAAAATCCAAGAAGAATCATGAAGACATGAAAATACATGCACAAAAATTGCGAATCTTCAGAGGTCGGCGGTGTTTTTCATTGAGTCAACTTTTTTTTATGATTTCCTCGTGGTAAAAGAGGTGGGCGGCCATTCATCTCCTAGCTCATATAAAATCATGTAACTACTGCAATGTTATTGGAGTAGTATTGGTTAGGCCTGTAGTATCTTCTAAAATAATGGATGTAAATAAAGAACAGGAGAAGATGTTTGTATTGCCAATCAAATCAAGCAAAAAACTTGAGTAGGTGCTTGTATTGTTGATTGGATAGTTGGAATATAAGAGATTACATTGATGTTTGATTGAATCATATCAGGAGCTTAAGCAAGTGCTTTCCATTTAATAATAATTTGAATGCAGCGTCAAGCGCCCGCCATATCATCTAGAATACTCAATAGCTCAACAAAAATGAAGGATTGAGGAAGGGGAAGAAGAGAAGAATCACAATAAGGGGCTTGGATCATTGTGTTGCATACCTAATACTCCCAAATGAAAAAGTATATATAGAGCTACAATATGCCATGCGACTCATTAATGACCTATCATACACTCACATTACTTCAACAATCTTTCAAACATTATAACACCCATTACAATTATAACATATTACCTCAATCTAACAATCCACCATGCTAATTGAACCCTAACACTTTTAACTTTATCCATTATAATTTGCAACCAACGATCGATTGTTTTAAAACTTAAAACTTAAAATAAAGGACCCCAAAAGACTTTCATGCACAATAGATTCTTCCTAATGCAGAAATCCCTCAAAGTAAGCACAATTACCAGTCACTTATTAATAGAAGAAAATTTACTGTTAAACCAAAAAATAATAATAAGACCCATACCCTCAATCTATCAGATAGTACAGATGGAGTAATCATCTTGTACTTGGGGACTTCCGTAAGCATCTTATCGTAGCTTGCCTGATCGAAGAGAACAGCATTGTTCACCTTCTCCTTCTGCTTTCCTTTGCTCCACTTCTGCAAACCACATCTCAAAGAGAAAATATTTCAACAAAATGGTATCTTCGCATATGCATAAAATGAATAACGCTCAGAGGATACAAGTCAAATCGATGCGACAACGCATTCCCTTCTAATCCCAAATCTACCAAAAAAATAAATAAATAAATAAACCTTCTTCTTCTGCTTCCCGCCACCAGACTTGGCTGGCTTAGAAGCCGGAGGCGCAGCCTTCTCCTTCTTAGGCGCCTGCACACGAAAATGCGTAGTCGATCAAACGAACCAAAAAAAAGGCACATCAAACAAAAGGAAGGCAAAATCCCCTCACCATCTCGTGCAGATCTCTCGGGTCGCGAAGAGAACGATCCAACCACGGCGGTTTTGAAGAGAAAGATTACTCTTTTAGCTACTCCCAAATCCTAGGGTTTTAATTCGATTCCATGACGAACCTTCGATTTGCTATGGACTGCAAGCCGTCAGATCAGTTCTCGTTCAACGATCGGCGGTCCAGATGTTAATTAGGTTAATGGGTCTGTCGGGTCAACACGCACACCCGCTTAAATCGTGTTTGTTTGGGGAAACTGCAGTTTTGTGGGGCAGTTAAACTCATAGCATTCAAAATTTATAGGATTTATATATTTAAATATAAACTTTATTATTAGCACACATAACTTTTAAAATTAAAATAAAATCAATTTTAAAATTTCTTATCCTCTTTGTTATATTTATGTTTGGTTATTAATGACATGAGACATGATGAAAATGGGTAGGAGTTGGCGGCTAGATGAGATGCAAAGTGGAGGACTGGGTAGGAGGAGATAGAGCCAAGATGGTATTTATGGGAGGTGCATTAATAAGCATCGTAATTTACACAAAGGTCGCTTGGTGACAAGGAGGTTCAATTGAGTTTTGCGACATGTGCAAAGAGGAGGCGAGCTGCTCGTAAAAAAGTTTTACATTTCAGTATAGGAGATAAAGGTTTTTGCTATTCTATTCAAAATTTGAATGAAAAATCTCTTCATTAAGAGATCCCCTAGTGATGGTTACTTACAAATGTTTAATGTGTTACAACTTGTCCCCATTTTTTTTTTGATATGTCGAGAACTCATCTCGACCCAAATATGACTTTCCCTTTCCGACTTTCTTTAATTGAGGGTTTCATCAAGGTCATTGGCAGAGTTATGGATTGCTATATATACAAATGGTGAAGTTTGTGTCTTTAATTTTTTTGGTGTGTCATATGAAATTAAAAAGAGATTGAAGCTTATTGCTTATAAGTATCAAGAGTTCAAAGTAAAAGGTACATGAGATTTGATTTATGTGGTGTTTAGTTTGAAGTTTAAAAAAAAAGAATAATTTGTCTAGATATGTAGAAGATTTAAAATATTTATAATTTCTATTTTGTACAAATTCAAAATTTGCATAAATCAAGCAAATTTCAAATGAAAAAAAGGACTATAGCTCGTAACCTTACTTTGTTGCTCAAGGTTGTCGCATATCAATGTTGCCGCATCCCTCATCGTTCTAATTATCACCACCAATCATTGACCCAAGGTATTGTTGCTCGGGGTGGTAAGTAAAACATCGAAGTGAAACAAACAAGAAAGATAAAAATAATGGATAGAAAAGAACAACATGATTTAAAGTGAAAAAACTTAAAAAATCGAGAAAAAACCATGGAGCCACACAACAACAAAAAATTCACTATGAAAATATGGGAGAATTAGCACATATCTATCTTCTCTCTTACACCACATTTACATAAGAACAAACAAAGAGATAAAATTACAACCACCAAGCGATGCCCCCTTAAGAAAACGAGAAAGAAAAATATCTCAGTCGGTCTTGTGGCGCTGCGGTGCTAGTTTGGAGCATCACGGTGCTCAAAGCTCTGTCTCTAGTCTACCTAACAGCAACTTAGCGTTGGATCTGGAGCACTGCAACATTCTGTGCTTTGTCTTTTCTCCAAGCAAACTAGGCTACGTTGGGACGTGGAAAATTTTCAGGTTCATAGCTCTAGAACCCAAGCAGGCGACAGAACTGCCCACCATTCCAATATCCTCAGTGAGCACCACAAACTAAGTTAAGATCTGAAGCAACCATATAACCCGATTGATTGACACAATTATAATTTCCACACCGTACTAACAATTTGATTACCACCATTACCACAAAACAATGTATATCAATTTATATTGTTTTGACTTATTTCTTTATTGATTTGTGGTTTGATGTTGTGGATACTTGCTCTTAAATGATTAGGATAGAGATATATAATAATTTTATCTTGTAGGTGGCCATGCATATAAAGAGGTGATTAAATATAAATGATTATGTGACTAATATTCCTTGTAGGTGTTATAATAATGAGTTCATGCCCTAAATATGCATGACCAATAGGGGTCTAAAGATATAGCTTGACATTAATTTATGGTTAGCCCTGCGTGGTTATGTAAACTTAAATTTTAATGTGCTAAGTTTATTGTCTCTTGTAGGGCCAAATGTGTTATTTTACCTTTTTACTAAAGTACTTTTTAGTTTATGAAATTTATGTAGGTATGTGTGTTATTTTCGACGGTAGAAGGTCAATTTATGATGTAGATGAAATCGTTTAAGATCCCACATGCGATATTATTGATGTATTGATTTAAACTAAGTTGTAATTATGGTAAAGCTCAACAACCTCTTTTATGTTTCTAGGTGTATTGCAAAATATAGCTGCACTTTTAGCATTTTTTTTATTATTTTATTATGTGATGATGATTGATGTAATTACTTTAATTGCACACTT